TTATGACATATGCTTATTGTTTAGTTTTCAACAAGAATTATGATCTGTAACATACCTACTCCATATGTATTCCTGGAAATTTTTATATGGCATTTATTTTTTCACCACAGCACTCAGAAGCACATTTCAGGTCTTTGTCCTAAAAATAATTCAATTAAGCAAGCTTTATTTTTACAGTGATACAAAATTATTATTGTAAGCTGAGCAGCTTTTGGAAATGCCTTCCTTATTCAGAACAGAGGTAGTAGAGGACTGGTGGTTATCAGTGAGGCCATTTTATAGCAGCTGTCCATTACATCTGGTTTGTTAATTTAAAGCTTAACTCCATTCAAATATGAGTGCTTTGCACTTGTGGAATGTGTTTTTACTCAGCTATTCTGTTAGGTCAAAGTAGAGCCCTTCTCTCTTCTGAAGAAGAGCACAACTTGACTCATGTTCTTGGACTAGTTTCAACATGATGTGTTAAGCAATAGATGGTCAGTGAGGACTCTCTTTTTTGTTACTATCTGGAAAATTCTATCAGATTCTGAACACCAAAGTAAAGGCAATCTTGATTTGAAATTGTTATTGTTTTCATCAGTTGAACTTCATTCTGTCCCCCATTTCTGTCTTTGCTGTAGTCTTTTAACACAGACACGTGTGTGTGATATTAAAGTCCTCTTGTGTCGGATAAACGATTATCATCTCGCTTGTCCTGAAAACTCTGTATTTACCAGTATTCTGTTTGAAAAGCATACTAACAAATCCTGTTGAACATATAAAAAATAATTATAGATAAGTGCCCTGTCAAGTCTGTTAATTGAATTGCATATCCTTGATGAAAAAGTTCATCTAAACTGGCCAAGACAGCAGAAGGTGGTGAGTGGGGAATCTCTCTCTACGAGCAATGTTTTTGAAATGCCAAACTTAATCAGCTGGAGTTGGCGTTATCCCTCAAGCATCTTCCTTGTGTTGATGGCATAGAGAAATGAGCTGCCTTGCTTATAAATGAATTGTCGGACAACTTTATTTTGAATTACCACATTTAATTATGCTGCTGATATAATTTGCTATGATAAAATTAGCACAGTGCTTGTTTAGTTTTCCCATTCCAATGAGCTGTACAATATAGCTGTCTGAAGTAGACATCTGTTTAAGGAGTACTATTTTTTAAAAAATTCATTATTCTGCCTGCCAAGTGGAATTGGAGTCCACAGCGTCAATCTGATCCCTCTATTCAATAAATACAGTATCTCAAAATATTCAGTGTGCTAAATAGCAATATAGCAATGGGATAGCAATTATAGCAATAAGATCTGTGTGCTTGAGACCGTTTCTAACATCTGTTGTGTATACAATCCCATAAGAGCTGGACTGATACGATACGAGCAGAATATATTCAAATGACCGTGTTTTGGTTTGTCAGATATGCCTTTAAAATAAACTTGATGCCACTTAAAGGATTTTGTATTTTGTTGCTAAAACCAGCAGTAAAGATGATTAAAATTAAAAGAAAGCTTATATTATGAGCAGGGATGATGGACTTGTTCAGTGCTGTGTTTTGTGGCAGCACAGTATTGCAGAGACTCTGAGGTAGCACCGGCTGCATGAATGTGGAACTTGTGCAGGGCAGCGCTTGGTTGGGTTCACCAGCCCACCCTGCCGCTCAGGGGAATCAAAACGCTGTACTGAGACAACTGTATCCCTTCTAGGATCTAACCTGGAACTTCCATATGGCTGTATGCTGTGCTCTGTAAATACACCAGCTGACTAAATGCTACTTTAGGTATCTTCACTGTGAGGCTGGACCTAAGAGAACACACTTTTTTTTTTTTTTAAAATGAGCTTGGGATGTATAGCTTGTAGAGGAGATGGCTAAGAGGGAATATTACCGAAAGAAATGAGGTAAGCCCAGAGGCAGTGTTGGCAGCAGAAAGCAGATGCAGTTTATGATGTCAGAACGTGGATAGAGTGAAAAAGCAAAGGGGTCTTGGGGTAAAGGTCTGGAATAGGCTTCCAGCTGAGTTGGAATTTGCAAGTTTTTAAAAACAGCTTGACTAGCTGTGAATGATCGTATTCGTATGACATGTGGTAGCAGGGACAGACCTGACGTTAACAGGTCCTTCCACTCCTATTTAATTTACAGAGATAAGACTGGAATCGTTTACAAAATAAGGCCCTCCGGTACCTGTGAGGTCATAAGTAAACTTCAGGTAATGAATAACAGAAACACTAACTTTCTCGGTTTTAGACATCACTCCATCAGTTCATTTTACCATTAAAAGCTATTTTAAAGTAGATAAAATCAAAATTTGTATTTAGAAGTTGTAGAAAGCTATTGAATGAAACTTGCTCACAGATAAGAATCTGAATTATCTTGTGCATAACTTGGCATGTTGGAGTTTTCTTGCTTTGTTTTTGAGGACTTAATTGGTGCATAAGCTTTTCGCCTGCCCAGATGTCAGGTTTGCTCCAATGGGGATTAGACAAACAAGCAAAAAGCATTCATTTTTTAAAAATAATTCGATGTAAATTATTTTAGAAGGGAATAAACCTTCCTCTGAGTTATGTGCAACTAAACATAACATCATTATGCCAGTACAGGGGAACTAGAAAGTAAATTTGACTGAGCAGGGCTGAAACAGTCCAGACCTCTTTACAGCTGAGAGTGAAATGTAAGATTTAAGCTATCAAACTGGTAATGTAATTTTTATCTTAAAATAATTAGATTTCCACCTGTCTCCAGTCCCAAATAATAAGTGTAAAAGCTTTTCAAGAAATTTGGTTTAATTTTTGGCTTGATTCCAGCCCTCTTAAGAACCCTCTGGCTGACTTCCTGCTTTAATAGCTGCTGAAAGTTTCTTGAACTTGTGCAGACCTACGGTACGGTTACTGGGCCAGCTTAGCCGTTCTCCTTATCCCTTCACAGGGTAATGCTTGTGGCAAGGTGACATACATCTTGCCTTTATGGCATGGGCATGACCTGACCACTGCTTAAGATCAAGCCAAACCTCTGCAGTACACAGATCCTGAAAGAAGCAATGGTACAGTCCTGCAGCTCTGAGGGGAAAAAAGATATGGGAGCTAGTCATAGGGGATGAATTCGGGAGTCCACACTTGATTCTAGAGCTGGATTTCTTCATCAGTCCTTCATCTGGGGTTTAGTCTGGAGGGACATTTTTTCACATAGCAGCAGCATGTAGCCCAACAACGTGCCCCTGGTGCTGATGTCTGCATCTTTCCTCATTAAGTAGCTGCGCGAATGGCTTAAAGTATGCCTAATTACTTAAAACTAATCACAGAGGCTGAGGTGGAAAAAGATTATATACCCAACCATACATATACCATTTGTTTCTAGTGTGTATGGAAGAACAATTCATATTCCTTCACAGTACGTGTAATTGAAATATTGCTTTTGTAGAAAAAGAGGTATGAAATACAAACAATTTCTCTCACTGATACTTGTCCTTTTTTCCAGCATTAGATTGCATGTAGACATACTAACGTTCCTCCTCTGCCTGATTGACCCAGGCATTGAAAAAACATTTGAACATAAGGATTGTCTCCAAATGCTTTATCAATTTAATTTCTCATGTTGGCTTAGTTTTCATACCTCTGAGTTTCATTTCGTGGAACTAGTACTAAAGAATTAGTAAAATTTTTGGTGTTGTGATATTAACACATCAGGAGGTAAAAAGGGTTACTTGAATTCCAAAAGCTAGAAGATTGTTTTCATGCAAAAGCACCGTTCTTAAGTCTCAGCTGGTATTCCATTAAAAGCAAAAAAGCACATAGTGGTGACTGATGTTTCCAAAAGATCTATGCATGAAATATAATGGATATTAAGAACCTGGGATAAAAGTGACGTGTCAGCAGGTATACTTGCTGTATTTATTTATTTTTGCTTGTACTATTAATTTTCAAACTGACACCACAAAAATGTCTGTGAAAAGTGAGCTAGAAATAATTTTAATTATGGACTCTATGTGTGACTGTCCTTCCGATTCTCTCCCCGTCCCACTGTGAGGGAGGGTGGTATTTGGCTGCCTGCCAGGTTAAACCACAACAGTGACTGAATTTGATTTGCTAGTACAAAAGATGACAGCCTTTACCTCTTTGTATTATTTGTACTTTCTACTCTTGCTTAATAGTCATTCTTCCCTTGCGTCTGGTGTGTGATCTTGTGGAACTCTTAGGCTTATATATTTTGTCTCCATTTGGTAGTGGTGCTCACAATGCGATAGGGTTGCATACTAAAAGCGTATCAGCTAAAGGAAGGTCATAGCCTTAAGAATGATTTGTATTGAACCCTCTTCCCACAGTACTATACCTTGTGAGTGATCCTGAAGAATCACAAAGCCTTGGATTTCAATTCGGATTCCATACAGCTATGCTGCCAGTAGGCTGGCAGTGAAGCAGATTGAAATGGTTTGCTGTTAACACGGTCAAAATATGTTTTCAGTGGAAGTAATGAACAACTGAGTCTGCAATTTGTAGCAACAATCTTATGAGCAAAATGTCACATACTAAACGTGTTTTGTATCTCTCCTGCTGTTTGAGAATGTGATCAGCTCTGTAGAGATGCAGCCTGCACTTTGGTCTTCTCAGGCTCATCAGTTTAACATTTTTCAGCTCTTCTAGAAGATTTGATTGCCTTGAAAACCTTTTAAAACATACTTTAATTTTCTCACTGTTCTGTCAGTCCACTTAACATAGGTTACCTTTGTGCTCTTCATCACTCAGCAAAATGTAAATGCACTTCACTCCATTTTGAAAGGAATCATCATGGCTGTTTGATTGCATGAAGTAAAAACAACAGCCTTTCCCATCAGACATTTACAGTAGATCAAAACCAAAATGAAAATTCAAATGTTGAAAGCTGCTTCCTCAAACAGTGACAAAAAGTAGTCATGAGCGAATGAGAGCTGAAACATTTCAGTCATATTTAGTTCCACAAATAGGTTTTGCTTTTGGTCAGGCTTCCTGTATTTTGTGAGCTTGCATGTGTTCAACAGTGCGCTATGAACAGCAGCAACAGTTACTTTAATTTTGTAATCATGTGGCAAAGCAGTAAAATATCTGCAATGTATTTCATGGACAAAGATTCCAAACTGTCTAACTTATTTCAACAGGCAAGCAGTCCTACAACAGGAACAGCTCCCAGGAGTCAGTCACGGTTGTCTGTCTGCCCTTCCACTCAGGACATTTGTAGGTATGTGCTGACAAAAATATACTCTAATCTGGCTGATACTTGTTAGTTGTTTTTATTAAATAATATGTAGCTCTTGCTTCTGCTTAACACTATTCATAATTTACATGGACTTTAGTTTTCTTTTGATCTCTCTTTGTTTTGGTTCTGTTTTTGCTTTTCAATCTCATGTTTTTCTATTAAAATTCATGTTCTCATTTTCATCCTTTTTTTGTGATTTCTCTCTTCACCCACCCTTACCATTTCCATCCCTTTCCTTTGCTTACTGCTTTGTCTAGATCTACTGCCTTGCATGATTTGTCAGAAGATGAGCTTGAACATGCAACCCCTGTCATGGTGCTGACCCCTTCTAATAGGGAGTCTGGTAAGAAACAAGTAAAACGAAGGTTTAGGCGGAAAAAAGAGACTGGAGACAATGGTGAGCATACAGAAAAGCAAGGAAAGGGGAAAGACTGTAAATTGCATCCTGAGCCTGCGAGATCCCGCTGGAATGCATCTGATTCATCATCATCTTCGGATGAGAGTCAGTGGGCTCAGGCTAGGAGGAGAGCAAGAGAAAAGGCCAGAATGCCCAGGAGAGGGAGAAGGAACAATAGGTCATGCAGAAACCAGGATGGGTCCTCAAACAATAACGCTGTTGAAGTTGTCACCTTGGGGACAATGGGGAAAAAGAAGCAAGAGGTATCTGACCCTGAGAATCCTACTTTAAATCACCGCCGAAGAAGGGTTCCAAGGCTTAAGGAATCGCAGTCTTCAGCATCCTCTCAGGAAGCAAGGATGTCCTCAAGAAAATGTGGGAAAAGCAAAGGGAAAAGCTACTACAGAGATCGGCAGCCTGCGTCTTTCCTTAGACACAGTACAGATTCGAAGGACTGCTTTGCAGAGGCAGGCTCTGACAGTGATGCTCTGGCAGTCCCAGATAACGGAGCACCTGCTGGGGCAGGGCCCAGTGTGACTGATGCTGTTCAGAAGCCTCCAGTGTTGTATGATGACTGGTCTGATGATTTAGAAGTATGCAGGTTAGTCCCTAATAAGAAAGATTTAACGTTCTTAAGAGGAGTTTCTCACCGCCATGGGCTGAGTGCCCTTCTCTTGACTGCTTTCTGTCACTGTTTCTCAGTAATAAACTGCTGGGCAGGCCATAAGAAATAACACAAAAACCTTTGCTACAGAGAAGCTAGTGTATCTCAATCTGAAGACATACTTCTCTTATTTAAAAACAGTAATCCTACAAGGGGACCAAATGTTTTTCTTTGCTCCATTTTTCGTCATGAAGACGGACACACTGTGTCCTCTGGCAGGGTATTACTGTGTTTTAAATCTCCAGCCAGAGGCAGAGAATGAGGCAGAGTGCCAGATAGCTCAATACAATGGGATATGGAGTTTTTCCTCCTTAGGTGATCGGTTCAAATCCAGCTTTGGTCCCTCTTTGTCATTTTTCATTGGCTTACATGAAATAAATTTATGGTCTTGATTCAGTGTCCTCTAGAGATGCCATTACCACAGCAATCTGAGGGACGCTGCCTGCAAAACACCCTCTCCAGTTGTACGGGACTTTGCACTGTGAACGTGCAGGGGCTGTTCGTTTGGTACCTGTCACAAGGATTGGAACGATACAAACGATGATGGGGCAGAATAAGCATTAAAATAATCTTTGGGAAAGAAAAAGCAACACCAACAGTTCTCTCTAGTTCAGAAGTTCAGGCTTCTGACAGTCTGATATCTGTGGTGTGAAGCATGCAATCAGAAGGTGAGCGTTTTCCCCTGGAAATGAGAGCAATCTGGCCAGTTCTCAGCGAAAGAACAAATTTGCACTAGGCAGCTGGGTGGAACTGAGTTACTTAATTTAGTGGTAAATGAAAATGCACCATCCCCTAAGTTTAACAGAACTGAAACAAGTGTGTGTGTTTTTTTTTTTTTTCTTTTTTCTCCCCAAACTTGTGAGCCAGCATTGACTCTCATCTACAAGGTACATGAGGATCAGGCTTAGTTTCCTGATATGGTAACCCAAAACTTCTCACTTTTCTTTACTGGGAAGAAATTTGCATGGAAATGTAAACACAGTCAGAATGAGGAAGTTCACGATGCCACATCATGCAGTTTCACGGTATGCTTCAACCTAGTAACGCACTACAAAGATCCTAGTTTTAAAAAGAAAAAAGATGACATGCAGCCATTGTGCTTTTTCACAGCAGGAGATAGAAGCCATTACTAATACAGCTAGTGCTATGCACTCCGTGTTACGCTTACCAATCAAGAATGGACATTTCAGTTGTCCGATCATTGTCATGATAATTTAAGATTCTTTAGAGTAAAGTCCAGCTGTGTTTGTACATCAGCTTGTACATCAGGACCACACCCTTGGCTTGGGACTTCTTCATCTTACAGAAATGCAAAGAAACAGCACATTTTTGAAGCACTTGGAGTATGTCTACACGGTATGATGTAGAGATGTGCACAGATAGCTACTTCAACAACTTCAGAGTTGTCTTAAATTTCTGAACCACTAAGCCTGCATGCATTAAAGATCCAGTGTAGCAGGCAGAGTACATATATAATAGGGCCATTTAATAATTATTAACTGAATATGAGCTACCCAAAAAACTGAAATAAATTATTTCAGTATGGGTCTTCATATGGGCATACCTATACCGTGTTAAAAAAGAGAAATTAAAGTCAAAGTTTTGTAATTGTCTCATGTAGATTAATCCTAACTGTTGCCTAAGTCCCCAGACTTAGACTTTGTTTTCAGATGGAAAGTGGACTCCATTCTTTTATCTGTCTTCTTGACCCATTCAATTTCATTATAATTATTCAGGCACTTTTTGTATGACTTGGACCTTGGTTCAAGGATGGACTTTTTGGATGTGCATGCAAACTTTTCAGCTAGGCTCTTGTTTAGTAGAGGAAGGTTGAAAACTTTTGATAGGTATGTGTACCTAGGCTCACTATCAGTGGAGATGCTCTTTGAACAACCAGAGTTAAATTCAACACAGTTGATAACTGGGCCTGTTGTGCAAAAATTGTCAAGAGAATCATGACTGCATTTTTCTTCATGTCAGGGGTAATGCTATTTTTTTTGTTGTTGTCATTACTAGGTGTATCATAGTTATGATAATACATCTAGGAATAACATTACAAAATCAAAAACGTGTTAATTTTTCATAGCTGGTACATTGTCTTACCTAATCAATTTGCAGACAGCTGAAGAAAACGGAAGACATGTTTTTACTATCAATTCAGTATAGATTGTAGTTTCTGTTTTTCAGGACAGGTCCATGCACTTAATTGACTCATGATCTGTGGTATGTTTTTCTTCAGATTCACAGTCTTGCATCTGAAACAAAAAAAGAATTACATTTCAACGCAGATGTGTGCATATGCAGTAATCATTTTTCTGCATGAGAAATAGAAAAAGGAGTTTTTTGTGATGTTTATTTTAAGACTGGAATTAACACAGCTGGTTGTGATGTGGAAAATCTGTTTTCTTTAGGTGTTTCTTCAAGCTTTTCATCCTAGGTATTCTAGTTGATGTGACAAAACTGGCTGAGAGGAACGGCTCTCATCTAGATGGGATTGTGTGGAAATAGCAGGGGAACAGGGATCTTAATCATCTCCTGGTGCCAGTTATTTTGTCTTTAAGTGTTTGGGTAGGCAATTTTTTTTCCTTTACTTCCTCATGAATTACTGGCAGTGGAACGCACTTATGCGTGCACATAAGGCTACAAGCAGTTTCCTCAATGTGCATTTAGCTGCATGAGCGGGAAATGTGACAGGACTCACCCAATTCTAGCATAAGCACATTAGTCAGATAAAGTATAGTACCATGGTGCAATATATACTTCAGCTAGTCTAATGTAGGCCTCTTGGTCACTTCAAATGAGACATTTCACCTTCTAGTGTCACTGGTCCTCTATTTCCAAAATGATGAAACAATGACATGACACCAGTGATGATCTTTACAATCTGTCCCCTGAACATACTCCTTTCTTCTGGAGTCCATTAGAAGGCAAGGTTTCTGCTTCTGGGATTAAGGACAGCTACATAAGTTCTGACAATGCTGAGTTGTTTTGGCACCTAATTTTTTTTTTTTTTTTTTGAGATTCACAGGATAGGCTTTCTAAATCATACAGTTGGATCCCCCTTTTCCTAAGTTGCCCTGTGCCTGAGATTTTCTTTGTATGTACTTTATTCTGGAATGTGCCATGTGGCTTGAGGCACAACCTCAGAAATAGCTTTCTTTGGTCTGCATGGGGGTAATCTCCCTGAAGGGAAAAGCTATGTGTGGGACACAATAAAGTGAGTGGATTGTGAGGATTTAGTCCCATGGATTTTCACATGGGAATTACTAAGGAAAGAAAAGTGGTTAGTTAATATTACCACTAGTGTATCATAAGTGCTTTGTGTATTGACTCTGAATTGCTGTCATGGTATTTTTATTATTTATGATTCTATAATTGAAAGATATTTTCTGTTTGACTAGTTATGCTTTTGGTGTAAAATCTTTTTGTAGTACTGATGCAGTCATTTCAGCAATAACACTGAACTGTAATTAGCTGAAAGAAACGACACACACTTAAATAAGGTGGAGGTTCTCACTGTGAAAAAAACGCATATCGGAAGTAGAATTTTAATTTTGTTGAACTCTATGAATGAATCTGTATGCAGTCAAGTAATGGCAGACCTTTATTTGAGGAGTAAATAGAAGAGTAAGGCATGCCAGAATACTGGTAGGAATGGAGAGAAATAGTAAGGGAGATGATGAAGTTAGTTAATGACATCTGCAGAATCTACTTCAAGTATAATTTTTTTTAAATCAGCTTTAAAAAGCTAGTGTGTTAATGAAAAGGCCAGTATAAACTTAGGAAAAGACTAATATGGGTATTTCTATGTGTTAACACAATCATAGCTAGGAAGAAATGGTGTACATTGCACTTGACAAGAGGCAATATGATTATGTAGTTTCTCTCTGTGAAGTCAAGTGTTGTAACAGGGGTTTTTTC